CTCTACACTGCAGTCAGAGTACGATTTCCTTAATGCAAATCTGAATTTGTCACTTCTTGAAACTCCTCAGTCATACCCCTTGTCATTGAAATAAAGTCCAAACTCTAATATGGCCAAATAGTTGTTCATGATATAGATCTACTTTCCCCTTATACACTGTTTGAGTATTGTCTTAGCTTGGGCTACTGTAACAAAATACATAAACTGAGTGGCTTAAACAATAGACATTTATTTCTCACAGTTCTGGAGGCTGGAAGTCTAAGAACAAGGTGTTGGCAGATTCATTTCCTGGTAAGGCCCTCTTTCTGTCTTGCAGACAGCTGTCTTATCACTGTATCCTCAGGTGGCCTGAGAGAAAGTGTGCTCTGATCTCTTTCTCTTCTTATAAAGACATAATCTCATCATGGGGTCCTTACTGTCATGACCTTGTTTAAACCTAATTACCTCCTAAAGGCCCTGCCCCCTGATATTTTTATATTGGGGGTTAGGGCTTCAGTATATGAACTTGGTGGGGGAGGGGAACACATTCAGTGTTAACAAGCTGCTTGCAGTTATTTGAATAGAGGAGGTCAGCAAACTATGTCCTATAAGCCAAATCTGACCAACCACCTGTTTTTTTCACAGCTTGCAAACTAAGTATGTTTTCTACATTCCAAGTGGTTACTCTTTAAATGGTTAGATTAGTACCTACATCATATACTTGATTTTGTCTGTAGGCCTGCAAAGTCTAAAGTACTTACTTCCCATCCTTTAAAAAGTTTTGCCAACACCTGGAATAGGTTATGCTTTGTACTTTATGCAAAAGGTATTCTCTTCATGTTCTGGAGGCCACATTTACTTTTTCTTTCCATTGTCTCCGACTTGGCTTTTTTTTAGGTTGTCTCTGACTTGCCAAACTTAGATGTCCATGTATGCGCTCTCATGGTATTTGAGCAATTACTTTACTGTAAAGGAACTGTGTGTGGGAGACAGATAGCCTGGGAGGGTTGTTGTGACTTTCTTAAATTAGCATTTGTTAAATAGAGCTCAGGGGTGTTGGTTGGTAAACTCCAGTTTAACAATAGACCACAAGGGAAATTGAAATGGTGAAGTTTATTACAGGTCTTAGAGGAAGTACATGGCATACCTTGAGGGGCTACATAGAGAAGTACATAACATATCTGAAAGGGCAATACAGGTGCAGACAGAGGGATTGGCAGGACTGGGGCATGTGCCTTTATTAGGGTTTGTGGCTGGAGTGTTTGGGGTTCCTGGGCTAAGGCTGAGTGGGTAAATTCCAAACAAAAAGAGCAGGATTTTGGTCAGCTCCACTAGGGGGTCTCATCCAAGGGCAGCACAGGGGAAGGCTCTGGGAGGTGGGGGAGACTGTTGCTTGCAAGAGCTGCTGGGGAAGTCATAATAGGAACTTCCATTTGCTTGTGACTCCAGGGCTGTTATCTAGGCATGCACTCATAGGACGGGCTAGTTTGAGTTTAAGGTCCTTGCAGGCTGCTTGGCCGCACAAAATGGATGCTGATGCAGCAGTATCTTGGAGTAGTTTAGTTAAACTCTCAAAAAAGTTAGGGATTGTCTTTTTACTTGAGTATAGCCTGTGCCCAGAATTGTGCCTTGCATATATTGATTTTTATCTCTATTGAATTATTGAAAATGTGTCTCATGGTTACCACATGAAGAGGCACATTTGTTCCCGCCACATTTGTTCAGATGTCAGGACCAGTGGTGCTGCACATGTTACAAGAGGGTGTGAAAAGATTTATTACTCATATAATGAGATTTTCTAGGAGAGCAAGGCAGGTACCCAAACCAGTACAGAAGGTGGAAGGGACAGGTAGCTCTGGTTTTTATTGTGGTTAGGGGATAGGCTGGGTTGAGGGTTCTTATAAACAGGCTAGATTTGTGTGGTTTGAACTTCTCTGTTGATGCCAAGGGAGGTAGACTTTTTCCAACATGACGTTTTGCTTATTATAAAAGTACTATGTCCTTATTACAGAAAAAATAGATATGAAGAGCATAAGCACATATTATCTCACATAATGGGAAATTATAACAATTCTTTGGTTTACAGTCATCCAAATATTTAAATGTATTTTCAGCATTAGAGATGGAGTCATACATATGTAGTCCGTCTCCCTCCACCTTCATTTTATAGAGCTTCTTTCCATGTTACTGAATAAATTTCTGAAACATCATATGTAATGATTTTTTGATGAGCGTTTACTTGAGGCATAAATATGGATTGTTTTCCCTCCTTCTCTGTAACTATTGCTAACTGCATTCCCCTTCCTTTTCCATTGGGGTTTTTTTAGTAACTTTTCAAAATGATATTATTCCCTCACTTTTACATTCATTAGAACAGGCTCATTTCCATTCCTTAAGACTGCTCTTTAAAACTTTTATTATAAATGAAATCTACAGAAAAATGCACGAAGAGTTAGTTATTAGAAGCTGAACACCTTTTGGACAGTGGTAGCAGTGCTCCTTTTGCTGATTGGTGAGTCTCAATAAACCCTGATCAGAACTTAGAAAATGAGGTTCTAGTATCTTCGATTCTTCGTTGTGTTCTTAGTTGTCAGATCTGGCCTGGGACACCCAGCATCATTTTGTTTCATATATACTCACACATACACAGTCAAATGTTTTTATAAAGGATATGATTTTGAGAGGTAAAATTACATAAATCATAATGCTTATTGTAGAAAATGAGAAAATACAGGTACTCTAAACAAAATAAGAAGAAAATACCCATAATCCTAAAATAGAGAGTTAACCAGTGTTTGATTTCCTTCCAGCTTTTTTCTATGCATATTATAAAATGTTTTTTTTAGTAAAATGGATAATTCTGTATATGTAGTAATAGAAAACTAATTTTTTTTTTCAATTGACATCTAGGCTTTTTCAGCAGAAGAAATTTATTTTTTCTTTTAAGAAGTAAAACGTCTTGTCATACTGATACTTCTACTTATGTTAAAAAACATAGTTTTTATTTAATTTTATTATTTTTTACATTTTAATTTATTTTTTCCTAAGGTGAGAATCCACACACACCAATACAACTTCTTTCATTTATACCCATGTATACACAACCATCTCAGAATAATAACCGTATTACCATCCATATTTGTAGTTACTGAAAACATACTGAAGATTTTTTCCCCCACTTGAAATAGTTTTTCTCTGAGTGTTATCCTATCAACTTGATACGCAGTCAGATTCATTTATTTCAATTTACTTTTGAAATAAATATTTATTGAAATACTATTTTTAAGAGCAAAAGATTAGAAACAACCCAGTGTCTTGTTTTCCTCTAATATCTTTCCATGTCCATAAATATATTTTTATCTTTTTAAAATAACATGATATTCTGTTGAGTATATCATACTTTTTGTTTAATCATTTTTCTGTTGTTGGGCATTTAGGCTGTTTCTCCTTTTTTGCCATTCTGAACAATGCTGCAATAACCATACTTATACATTACATGTTCTGCATTTGTTTAGTTCTAAGTCATAAATTCTTAGAAAGGAAAAATTTGCCTTTTTAAAAAGGGTTTTAGCTAAATTTTGACAAATTGGCCTTCAGAAAGTTTGTATGAATCTAATCCTAGCTGGAGTATAGATGAATACTGATAAATCAGTGTTGGTGTTAGCATTCTTTCCTATATCATATTTATTGACCATTTATTTTATATTTTGTGGACTGTCATGGTCTTTGCCAAATTTTTTCATGTTCATCTTTTTTCTCAATTTTTAAGAAGACTATTGAGGATAGCAAATCTTTCATGATCAAAAGAGGTGTTATGTAATACCTTTCTTGTGCCAAGATTAGATAATTATGCAGGTTTTTAAAAAAAATAATTACAATTATTCCACTTACTTTTAGTTTTCAATGGATCCTGGAAGGAAGGCCTAGCAACACAAAAAGAAAAGATTTGGATGGAATACTCGACATAAAGAATAATTCTAATTTTATTCATATTATCTGTTGTAGAGTAGATATTTCCCCTTTCTATAAGAATTTTTCAAGGCTATAATCTCTAAATCATAGATTTTTGGATTTGTGACCTTCTTATATATACATATTAAAGAAAGGTCTTGTAGTATTGAATCAGTTCTTGAATCGGAAGGATCCAATAGTAGGCTATATAAGTCAAACTGAGTTTGTTACCGTAAACTTAGTTTTTATTTATTTGGTTAGACTTTAGAACAAGTCTTTGAAAGCAAAACTTTACTTTTCTAAGGATAGATGATAGCTAGTAAGGTTGCAAATAGAACACAGGAGGGGTTGCTTATACCAATTTGACTACTCCAGTCCTGTTATAGAAGAAGAATGAATTTAAGGCAAACAAACCAAGGAGGTGGTAGTGGTGCTGAAGATAGTAGTAGTAGTAGGTAGGTTTGGCACAAAAAAGGGATAGAATAATCACACTGTTAAAGGCTTTTTTTGGTTATTTTTACATAAATTGTTCAATCCCTAGAGATAGTAAAGCACAACCTCCCACACTAAACATGCATAGATTTAGGAGATTCTTCACTATTTTTGATTATTCATGTTATGTTATCAGGGAAGTTGTTAAATACATGGACTCAGGAGGTAGACTGCTTGTGTTCATATCCTATTTTTGCCAGGTATTTAGGGCTCTCTGCATTAATTTCATCACACATAATATGGGAATTGCATTAGTCATAAAACCATAGGGTTATATTGAAGGTTAAATAAATATTTAATTTTATAAAGTGCTTACAACAATATCTTGCAGCTAGTGAGCACTGTATACATTTTTCAAAACAAAAAAATCTGGCGGGATGGAAGACAGAGAAGGATGTTACAAATAGCTTGATCAGGTAAACCAGTTGAATCTTTTATTTAAGTAATTTTATTTCTAAAATCTATTACAAGACAAACATTGAGTGGATTCAGATTATCATTTAGTCATATTTTTGGAATTAATGATTACATACATCCTTAAGCTAGGTTATAGCATTTTTTACTGCTTTTATTCACAGGATATTCTGAACAATCTTGAATCATGTGACCTTGAGGATGATGACCTTATGCTTGATGTGGATCTGCCTGAGGATGCACCTCTTGAAAATGGTAAGTGGGGACAATACTGAACCTCCAGAAACATTTGATATTTGTTATTTACAGACTTCCCAGTGTTGATGGAGGAAGCCTGTTCAGACTGAGAATCTATCTTAAGTGATGTCAAATAGGTTCATTGCAAATTTATTTAAATGTCTAAAACCTGATTTTGTAGGTCTTAGATATAATTCTGTATGATCCAAATATTGTATACCTATGCCACAAAGTAAGTGGTAGACAGGATTTGGCCTCTTTTCCTATATGCATATGTAATTTTTTCTCCCTTTGTCTCATTTTGATTCTAAGAAGAAATACATGTAGAAAAACAAATATCATTTGACTTGTGAAACCAGTAAAACTCATTTAGTTGATAAATATTTTAAGAAGATAAGTTCTGGGAAAATGGTGACCTTCTGAATGAATCATTTTATCCTTTTTACTCCCAAATTCAGTCTGTCATCTTCTGTAGATCCCAGTAACTGCTGGACTGGAGCTTTAGATAATCCTTATGCAAGAGAGGTCCGGTTGCTCTTGTCCCCACTGAAAAGCATTTGTAGGATTTTCTATCTTAAGGACTGGTCAAGGACCAGAGACCAGCCTAAGAAAGCCCCTGGGACAAGGGTTAAAATAGGGCTCTTCTTAGGAAGAGGTATGGTTCCAGAGATCTCTGAATTCCCTGTTAGTCAATGTTTGTTTGGTTTCTCAGCCTCCCAGGGACCAGGGATGAACTAAAAAGGGTGGTGAAGTCTTTTTTACACATGATGCTAGAAAAATGCAAGAATATTTCAAAGAGGGTTTCGTGTTTGTTTTTAATGTATCATTGAGGTACTAGGTGCCAGTTGCTTCTCACATTTGTTGTATCTATAAGGCTTTTTCTTTTCTTTTTGCGTACTACCAGGATGCTCTAACAATCTCAAAATCTCAGTGCCTTTTAAAATAGAGGTTTGTTTTTCTCATTCATGGATCTGTGGATTAGCTAGGTCAGCTTAGGCTATAGAATTGAGTTCATGTCTACTTTTTTCTTCATTTTGAGACTAGGACTACTTGAAGCAGGTTGCTGTCATTGCAGATGGCAGAAGGACAACAGGGTGAGCAGAAATATGCATATATCTCATAAAGTCTTCACTTAGAACCAGCACACTGTTAATTCTACACCTGAATTAGAACTGAGAGGTACACTTTTTTCACAGTGAAAAGCTCAGCAGCAAAGGACATTGGATATATAATTCTATTGAAGCAGAGAGTGAAGAGCTGAGAACAATATCTGCTTTACCACTGGAGGAGAGACTGTTGCACCTTCTTGTAGTTCTGCTGTCACTTGGGGTACTCCAGCAACCAGAGTTGAGTTCCAGTCAACTGAGAAAGAAAAATCACTGAGAAAGAACAGAGAAAACAACAGAACTCCCAGAATTAGAATGGCCCAAGGAACCCAAGGAATAATAATGAGAACACTTAGGGAGAGTCAATTGCAGCACAATGCTTTCTGGAGCTATTAAAGATTTCCCCACAGAACAGTTCAGTAGATGACAGAAAGCATAGTTGGTATTGAAATCTGAATTAGTGGCCCGGAAGATCAAGTAGAAAAATATTGTAGAACACAAAGGAAAATCATAAAGCATTGAAAATTATAGGAGAAAAAATAATGAGACTTCATGATCCAGGAATCTTAATGTGAAGTTTTAAGGGCTGCTAGTAAGGAATGAGGGATTTACCTCCTTGGAATAAATCACATCCTAAATAATGCATTTTACTTTGACAAATTTAAAACCACTTCTCTTTGGAAACCTTATACCCTTTCTGAGCTAAAATAGGAAGTACAGAAATAGAGTCAGTCTTAGAGCCTGCTTCATCTTTAGAATATAATAAAAAGTTATCCACATATTAGATAAAAGTAGAATCAAAGGGAAATTTAAAGTCTTTGAGGTCTTGGTTGGGGACTTGTGAAAAGTTGAGGGAATTCTTGAGGTACATCCCACATATATTACAGATTTTTGTAGAAGGCAAACAACTATTGACTATTTTGAGCTAATGGACACCGAGGAAAGCAGAGCATGCTTCTAAAATATGTTACCTTCAGAGCACCAAAGATAAACTAATATTTAGGTTTGGTACTGCTGGGAAGTAGGGAATAACTTAGTCTTTTTAGAGCTCTGAGGTCTTGAGTGATACTATACCCACCCACTGAGGTTTTTGATGGAGAGGGTGGGAATGTTACAAAGACTGGTACAAGGTTTAAGGAATCTTCTGATATACTTTCGACTACTGGTTTTAGTTCCCTTTAGATTCTGGTTTTTGAGGCTGTTATGCAAATTTGGATAGAGTTTTTAGATGGCTCACTCTGAACCTTGATGGGTTTAGCCCACTAATTCTGCTATTATCATTAGAATTTTTGCCAACAAGAAGACTGGCACCTCATTCAGATCTTCAGTTTGGACACAAGTTTGCTATGACTTCCTTATGAATAGGGGACTCTTCTATGATTTTGAGGAAGAGGCCCTGAGGAGAATATTTATTCTGGAAATTGCATTTGTTTGGTAAATCATTACCTATTAAGCCAGCATACGTGGTAGTATAGAGGAGGAAATAATGTTTGTTGGTCCAATGTTTCTTGGACAGTTAGGGCTAGAATATTGGAGATATCCACACCTGAGTAGTTTAGTGACAGTAAGAGGGAGGTTATGTAATAGTAGTAGGGTTCAAGGTTGATATTGTAGTATCTGTATCAATAATTCACTTGCAAGGTTGTCCTTAATATTTAGAGAAATTTATCTTTTGAGTTTTAAGGGTTAACTAGAAATTGGGTGCTTGATTCCCCACTCAGAACACTTTGATTAATCACCTACTTTATCTTTTCTCTTTTATTTCTTAATGCAATATAAAACACTTATTTTTCAAATGCTCTGCTATTTATAGTATCTATAAATAAGTTAAGAGACTCCTTCCTCCAGTGTTTGATTGTGGTGGAGTCATCTAGTTGTTATATATGAAGGACATCATTTTATTCTGAGTCTTATTCTGCCTTTTTCTAAGGTTCTCTCCAAGTACTATATAAGTCTGGCAATGAAGCTGTTTATAGTATTTCTGCCTTAAAATCTTTCACCAAAAGTGAGTAGAAAGATAAGGTTATTTCTCTTTCAGAATCTTCCTGAATGTTATCTAATAGCATTAGTCTATCCTCGAAGTCTGCAGTGGATTTATCTTTTCTTTACTTACAGACCTGAATAAGAGCCAAATCTATGTTCACACAAAAGACTTTGCTGGCAGCCTCTGAGAGGCCTTTTCTAACCTCTCCTGGTTTTCTGTGCAATTGAGTTTAGGATACACTACCCTAAATTGAATATTGTAAGCTGAAAGAATTTAAGAAAATGGCAGAAGCAGGAAAGTCACTCTGACTTCCTCCCCCTTTCACCCTTGTTCCCTGAAATAGGTCAGAAAACCCTAATCAACCTTTAGGGATTTTCTCTCCTTTGAACGAGGTTTTCCTTTAAGAGATACTGAGCTTTTGAGGTTTCTGGCCAGCTTCGTTAGGGGAAAAGTCAAAGGGAGAGATTGGGTGGAGAGATAGAGGAGCATAGAATGAGAGAAGAGGAGAAAGGACTTTAGGTTTGAATTGCAGTTTGAAGGGGATGTAAAAGATAAATTGTTTTAATTCTTTTATATTTTTCTTTTACCTTAGTCAGGGAATCTCTTAAGGAAACAATTTTGGAATCTGTATGTATTTTGTTGGACCATTGGGTATTTGAGATTTGTTCTGGTTTTGTTCTAGTGTCTCCTAAATAAACAGTTTTGTTCTATCTAAAGCACAGTTGTATTGCTTTATTCTCTTGCTCAAGAATTTCTAACGATCTCTCGTATATAGATTAAATTTTAGCATTTGGCACATTTGTAGTATAATACTCATATTTATGAAATTTCTGTAATGTATACCTTACATGTGCTGTTTCCTCTACTCACTCTGGTTTTAAACTTTTCTGTGTTGAAAAGATGTCTGTTTACTTCCTGAATTTGACCCCACCAAGTTATGGTGACTATTAAATTATACTTATTTCATGGTATTTTTCCAAAGGCCACAGTTTTGCTAAACTTTATATTGCAGTATAGTCCTGTGAAGTTAGTAGTGTTGTCTTTGACCGCTTTACTGTATTTTCTTCTGGAAATTTATTTATATTTTTTGGTACTATTATGTTTAGTAATAATAAGTTCGTGTATTTTGTTTTGTTTTGTTTTTTTAACACAAGCTTTTCTTCTTTCAAGACAATTTCAATTAAAAGCTTTCCTGACTAGATTGTAAAATCTCCAGCAAAACACATGTTTTTCCAGGATTCGTGATGTGTAATTTCTTCCTATTATCTTCATAACCAATTGTTAGTTACCTGTGTCATCCATTGCCTTCTTAGGACAAGGTACCAGAGAAATCATCTAGGTAACTTTCGGTGTCATATTTTGTTCCTTTATCAAATCAGAAGAAATGGATATGTTGAATGTTAGAAATAGGCATCCCCATATCCCTTGCCTTTTGGTCAGCTATATTAGATCCACTTTCTCTCTCCAGACGGTGAAAGCCCTGGTATTATCTTTTTGTCTCTTACTCATAGTAAAAAAAAAAAAAGCATACTAAAATCTCCTACCTTTTATGTTTTGAGCTGGCAACCTTTTTCAGGCCTTTACTCTCTAGTCCTAAACTCATAGGACCAAATCTGATGTGTAGATAGTTTTGATCAGCATTTTGGTTAAAACTCTTTCAGACTAGGATGCTTTTAGGTATGCCTCATCTGAGTATTACATATTCAGAGGGATTTATTTCCTTTCTTAAGTTGTATTTGTCCTGTTCCTTCATTGACTCTGGAAACTGATTTTATCTCCATCTTGTAATTTTATTTCCTTTTCATTTTCTTTTCTATATTTTTAAAATTCTGTCAGAGAACCTTTAACCTTTTCTAAGAAACCACCATTAATGTTACTTCACATTATCTTCTTAGTAACATTTTAAAATATATAAACACATGTTTGATAGAACCCTGAGGTAGGAGTATAAGCAAGACCTTTCCTACAGAATCTTTTGGAGCAGTCATATCTCTGAGAAAGCTTTCTCTGTATCAGTTTCTACCAGTATTTTATGGTCATGACAAATGTTTGTTTCTGGTGCTTATTTGCTATTTTGCTCATGTTCGAGTTTATATTTCAATAAAGGTTCTTTAACTTGAAGGCTGTGTGTAGTACCAGCAACCTTTAGCAAACACAAAAGCAGCACATTAATTTCTACATTGTAATTTCCTTCAGTATTTAACTCCATCTCCTGGCCTGTTTGCCTGCTTTGTTTGCTTCTTGTTACTCTGTGTGCACTGTGTTATCTTAATTACATACCAAGTTCTTATTATGACAGAATTTCTTGTTTGGGGAGTGAGTAGTATTTATCAGCCTGAATTAAGAAAAAAATATTCGGAACATTTAAAAGTGGATATAGATTATCTCTCAGCTATATAGAGTTGTTCATACTAAAGTAACATTTTAATGCCATGTAGAAATACTTAAGGAACTTAACAAAATCTATGAGTATAATACAAATGTGAACTAAAATCACTTTCAGGCCTTTTTAGGATTATTTTTTAATTTATTTTCTTTTGCAGTCTCATTTTCTACTCATGATTTTTTTGGGGGGTATAATGGTTACCATGCCTCTCTCTAACAGCCAGGTTTTCTATAATTGAACTCTAAAAAATAGATCTTAATTTATCTCAATAAGATGACAAAAAATTCTTTAAAATAATTTCAAATGGTAAGGCTTAAAAATTTTTTTCATTAAAATGTTTTTTTAAAAACACTGTAAAATGTACAGTGTTTCTCCAAAATTGATTCCTCTAATGAATTTAAACAAAATTTCAGCGTCTTTTAAAACCTGTTTAAATTATTATGCATTTAGAAGAAATATCTTACAGTGAGTTCAGTGTATATGAGCATCTATATTTTAACTACATTATCTTTTCTTTGGAGTGGGGAAGTTTGTTTTTTATCTGGTATACTATAATATGAAACACTTCATATTTCAAATTCACATTTTAGGTTAAGTGAAAACAATCATTTAAATAATGAGCTTTTTTTTTTTTTAAATTGGGGATTACATTGATTTCTAAAGGTTTTTTTTTATCACAGGGAATTCTGAATATGCTGTGTTCGAACTTTCTCATGTAATAATTCTCAGACTAGAGAAACCTTTCCTTTTCCTGGCCTGGGTTAGTGTTGAGTTATATTTTTAGTAACAGTCCTAACTCAGTAGCTATGTAAGCACTGAGCGAAGATGGAGTCACAGGGTAAACTGGGCTTGCTTCCCACAGGGAGGGCTGGGACTCGAGCAGGAAGGAAGGCCTGTTTGTCAGTGCCTTGTGTGCAACTATGTCTGTGTAGGCAGCAGGCGACACAATGTCTCCCTTGTACAAAGTAACTCTCTTAGTGAGTGCTCAGATATGTGAGGAAAAAGTATTTGGGTAAGTGAAGGAGAAGCTTGGGGTGTTTCAAAGAGATTCTTTTCGTGTTTTTGTGGCATTTAGATTTCAGGGAGTGTACTATTTGTTGCTGCAAAGTACTGGCTTTGTTTTCAGTGGCATTTTAGACTTTTTGAACAAGCTCTGCTGCAGGCAGATCGAAGTGGCTTACTTTCTAAAACTGTGAGCTTAATTTAAAAAATATGATTCGTTCAAGATAAAAAGTTAATTTGTACTTCTTGAAATCAGAGAAAATTAATTGTGACATTCATTTCTAGGAATGAATTCTCTACTAGACTTAAAATCTTTTATCATTTTTATTAATTCAGAACCAACTAGTAATAATGATGAAAACCACTTAAAACTGATTACTGGTGTTTAAAATGTATAATGTTGATTTCAAATATAATTTGCTTGTTTTAAAATAGTGGAACTTTAAGTGACTTTAATATGAAAAGTTACTTCAGTTCTAATAACATAAACTTCAGTTTTACTAAAAGAACTGGTTATTTTTCTTATGGAAATCTTGGTTTTGTGATTAGATAATACAAATGACTTATCTTTTTAGAATATTACTTTTATATTTTCAGCAGCATTTAATTATCAGGCTATAAGTAGTTAACTTTTATAGAGTGCGTACATGTTTATAGTGTTTTACTTTTGAATTTGTTTAGTGGAGTGTGACAATATGAACCGCTTTGATCGATCAGACAGAAATGTTCGGCAGTCTCAGGAAGGATTTTGGAAAAGGCCACCCCAGAGGTGGAGTGGACAAGAACATTACCACCTTAGCCTTCCTGACCATTATCACCACCTTGGAAAAAGTGACTTGAGCAGGTGGGTCTAATTTTCTGTCTTATGATTAATTTTGAGTCATAATATTCCCCCCTTGTCTTCTCAAAAAAAATTTTTCTTTTGGTCTGGTTTTTGGGGCACCAAAAAACATTTAAAGTTATATGTACTACTAACTGGAATAATATGTGTAATTTTTTTTTTTTTGACCTAAATCTTTTTTCATTAACTTTATCATAAAAATGAGTGTTATATTTATGTCTGCTATTTGGACTTTAAGTTTTGGTGTGATTTCTAGTTCTCACTTGAGAATGATTAAATGTTGACTTTGTTAAAGTTTAATATTTTTTTAAATGTTTAAAATTGGTGTCAAGTGATTTGTCTCTTTTTGCTTATATAATAAATTCAGGTTTTAAAATTCTTCAAGTACTGTTAGAAACAAAAGAAGATACTGTACAGTGGTATAATTCTTTTCCTTTTTGAAGTGTAGCATAGTCTTTAATTTGATCAGACCTTAAGTTTAATGTGGCTCTGTAGTCATTCAAGCCTGGGATCAAGCCTGGGATCAAACCCTGGCCTGGCATAAACTAGGTTTGTGAGCTTCGATAATTTCTTTAACCCCTCTCTACTTCAGTTTACCATCTGTAGAATAGTTTATAATGCCTTTCTCTCACTGGTCAAAGATCAGGGATAAAAGTAAAGTGCCTGGAGCAGTATCTAAATTACATAGGCACCCAATGGTAATTGTTAGATTTCTTGAAGTAAGAAAAAATTGTAATTGTTAGATTTCTTGAAGTAAGAAAAAAAATTGGCTCTATGATTCCCTGCAGCCAAAGCAAAGAACAAAACTCGATCCATTGTAAGAATTGCAGTGTACATAAAAGGCATGTTTCTCCTGAATTGATTGGCTTTTATGAGACAGAACCCTAAAATAGATTGCTTTGTATGTAGTTTTATAAGGAAAATACTTTGTGATACAGCGGACAGGTCTTAGCTTCCCAAAGTAGAAATAATGATAAATTCCTTAAGTCTATTTCTTACTTACATTCTTCAATGCAAGCTACAGAGAACTCCCAAGTGAGAAAAGGCGGTTCTGCAGTGGTTCATGAAATGATGTGCAACTAAAGATTCTTCTGTTGGTATAATTTGATGCAGGGATAAAATTTAGAAGATCTGAAAGAATGCATGCGGTACATATCCTTCCACGCATTGTTTCGGCTTTTCTGTTTCTTACCTCTGGGCTTTTGATAAGGAATGGACATCAGAGAGTAGGTATTACCAGACAAGAATCTAGTGTAAATATAGTCTTCCCTCATCTTTAGTAGTTGGCTTATAAGAAGGTAAACTTAAGGCCAACTTATGAAAATTCAGAAGTCTAACTAAAATGTGAACCATTGCTTATACTTCAGATAAGATTTATTCATTCATTTCACAGATAGAAATTGAGAACCCATATGGTGAACTCTGTGCTCAATTCTCATGCTGGGATGTATTTGGTTATCACGTGAGAGATGAAAGCTATGCATTGATAATAGCTTCTTGGAGCATTGTTTCGAGGACAATAAAAATAATTATGCAGTGTGTGAGCTCAGCTGGAATCACTGCAATATTGGTTAGGTAGAATATTCATGTGCCTCCTCCATCCCATACAAAGATGAGTAGTAGATCTTCCTGCTGGCAGGATGCTGAGTCTGTGGGGAGAGATAGGTATGTAGATAGTTACAGTGTAGTATTAGTGCACTGCAATGACTGTTGCCTCAATAAAGTAATGTATATAGGATTCTAGGAGTATGCAGCGACTGGTTTCTGTTTAGATGTTATTTCTAACTCTAGATAGCAAAACTATGCATTTTAAGATAAAGAGTGGCAAATTTAGCTTAAAGTATGATTATTAATCAGACTCTCCAAAATGAATGAATTACCTATAGGTAGTAATCTCTGTCCCTGGAAATGATCAAGTTGAGGCTGATTAGTTATCTATCAGAAAAGTTAAGCAACATTTTCCAAAAACTATATTACTGGAAGTCAATAAGTATAGAAAAGAGAGATTCTTAGATCACATGAGTGTAAGAATGAACAAGTTAAAGTTAAATGAGGTTTTTTAAATAGTGGACTCCATAGTGCCTTTTATATATTAATATAGTATTATGATTTTGTAAAAGGTGGTAAAAGATAGAATATGTAACCATTTCCCAAAACATATGATCACAGATCTCTCCTACACAATATATTATTATGAGGGATCATCCACATTGCTAATTCTCAATGAGAGAAATGTACAGCATTCTTAGGGGTTTCTAATCTGACTCATTCAGCACAGAACTTCCCAACAAGTGAGCTGAGGCGCATACCATTTTTATGAATAGATTTCGGTTAACCAGTTTATTGATCTCCTCAGGCTTTGGTGTGGCTCTGTGGGAGCTGAGACTCTAGATCCCCAAGAGCCAATTACGAGGATGGACGGTAGAGAGAGAAATCTCATGCAAGACAAACCTTACTCCAGCATACCTTAAAATTACCATTTTCTCTCTGCCTTGATTTTAAACGGTTTGGATGCACTAACCCCAGGGCCTTTTTAATATTACATGTGTAAAAGTCCCTCTTCCCATTCTATGACTTCTTGAGTGTTGGTTCCCTTTCCTGTCTGTCCTTCAATTCCCATCATTGTCATAGCTAATTATAGGATTATATCTTATCCATAACTCAGGGGACTGGTGGTTCAGAACCAGTGATCTACTTTATACAGATATTCTTGAATTTACAATGAGGTTATATCCTGGTAAACTCATCGTAAATTGAAAATATTGTAAGTTGAAAATGCATTTAATACACCTAACCTATTGAACATCAGCATGCTCAGAACACTTACATTAGTCTACAGTTGGGCAAAATCTAACACGATGAATACACTATAGAGTATTGGTTGTTTATTCTCATGATCACCTGGCCAACTGTAGCTGCAGCTTAACTGCTGCTACCAGCATCATGAGAGAGTATTTTCCCACATACTGCTAGCCCAGGAGAGATCAAAATTCAAAATTTGGAGTATGGTTTCTACTGAATACATAGCGCTTTTGCACCATCAACAAAATGAAAAATTCTAAGTAGAACCATCCTAAGTTGGAGACCATCTGTAATTTTATCATAATGCTGTGCTCTCTTTTCACCTGGCCTAACCTTTCACTCCTCTTTTTTCCCCAGATCTCCTTTTTCCCCTATACCTTCCATTATGCTATATGGAATTCTCTCACATCCTAACAAACTCACACATTGACTTATTTTCTTACATTTTCCTGATTGTAACTGAAATCTAACTCTCCTAAATGTACTAATTCCCCAGAAGCATTCTTAAATGAAAGATTCTTATTTTTTTGTTATTCTAGTACTTAACTGTTTAGAGGTGGGGTCTTATCTTTACTTATCATTGTCACTTCTAAATGAAATATTCTTTAGTCTCTTACCTTTGAGACTTTGGGCATTTGGCTGTATCCGTTTCTCCTTACTGTTTCCTACCCCTAGCTAACAAAATCTTAGCCCTTGGCTCACTTTCCTTCTTCATTGTAAGCTTTGCTACAAAATGAGTGCCTCTAAAGTTCTTGTGCATGGTTCATATAACTCTCTGGCTCCTTAGTTCCTTACACTTCTATATACAAGATCATGTCATTTAAGAATAGAAATAGTTTTACTCTCTTCTTTCTCATCTGAATACTTTTCTTTTTTCTCTCCCGCATAGTTACTATGGCTAGAATCTCCAGGACAGTGTTGAATAGGAGTGGTGAGGGCCACCATCTATGTCTTGTCTCTGATTTTAGAAGAGCTTTCAATCTTTCGCTGTTAAATATGATGTTAGCTGTGGGTTTTTCATAGATACTCTTTATCAGGTTGAGACAAGTTTCTTCTATTCATATTTTGTTGAATGTTTTTATTATGAGAGGGTGTTGGATTTTGTCAAATACTATTTCAGAGTCTATTGAGATATTGTTTTTCCTTCTCTTTATGTCATGTATGACATTGGCTGATACCAACCTTGCATTTCTCTGATAAATCCTACTTGGTCATGGTATATAATTCTTTTATATGTTGCTAGATTCAATTTGTTAGTATTTTGTTGGGGATTTTTCTGTATATATAACAAATATTGGTCTGTAGTTTCCTTGAGATGTTTTTTGTGTGATTTTAGTATTATAATCACATAGATTGAGTGGTGTTTCTTTCATTTCCATTTTTGGAAGAATTTGTGAAGGAATTTTGTTAATTCTTCATGGAATGTTTTGTAGAATTCACCATTGAAGTTATTTGGGCCTGGGCTTTTCTTTGTGGCAAGTTTTTTGATTACGAACAATCTCTATGAATGTTCTATAGATGTCTGTTAGGTTTTGTTAGATTGTAGAGTTGTTCAAGTCTTCTGTTTTCTTGCTGACCTTCTTCCTAGTTGTTCTATCCATTAAAGAAAAGGAGGTATTGAAGTCTCCAACTTCAGTATATCTTGTAGGAAAGGTCAGATAGCAACAACTCTCAGTTTTTGCTTATCTGAGAATGTTTTAATTTCTCTTTAAATTTGAAGAATAGTTTTGCTGGATATAGAATCTTTGGTTGACACTCTTCCTTTTAACATTTCGACCCCTAGGCTTTGTAATGAAAAGTCAGCTATTAATCTTATTGAGCATGTCTTCTACATAATAGGGCACTTTTCTTCTTGCTGCATTCAGAATTCTCACTTTTTCTTTGGCTTTTGACTGTTTAACTATGGTGTGTCTCTCTTATAGTTTATCATATTTTGGAGTTTGTTGAACTAATGATTAGCGATTTCCTTAAATGCCTTGAACCAGTAAGTCTTCAGCCATTGCTAAGGGGCTCTCTATGTGTTCAGGGATGCCTTTAACAACCTGGTAAGCAGTTTACAGTTCTACCTTTCCCTTCATTTCCTGTTTGCTCAGAGGCTCAAGGTTGGCCAAAGGTGAGAAATTAAGGCCTTCTCAGATATTTCTTTGGTGTGCACACAGCCCTATATATGTTTGTGGCCTTCTCTATGCCCAATAATTCGT